AGTTGTCTTGTTGATGAACTGGACAAGCTTCTTTGGACCACAATACGGACAGTTGTCGTCATCCACTTTTGTTCCTCCACCCAGCCGCTGGGTGTGGTGACGTCTGTGCAAAACGGGGGACCCAGGGGCTGCAGTACCCGTCGTTTCAGCTGGTACAATGGGACATGGACCTTTTCACTGTATCGCTCCCTTTCTGACCTCTCTGGTGCACCTGGCTGCTGTCTTCATGGTCATCGACACCTTAAGCCGCCACCTCCCTGTCTGTCGTAGCCCCCGCCCCCCACGCAGCCAACCACGACACACATCAGATAGATTTCACTGATTGACACACACTACCAGTATTGTGTGTGTGTGTGTGGTGTATGTATGTATGTATGTATGTATGTATGTATGTATGTATGTATGTATGTATGTATGTATGTATGTATGTATGTATGTATGTATGTATGTATGTATGTATGTATGTATGTATGTATGTATGTATGTATGTTTATGTGTTGCCAATATGTACTGAAGGACATTGACATGGGTTATGGGCAGGGTTAATGTATGTCTTCTCTTCTTAAAGGGGCCATATTACACAGTTTTAAATTTCATATTTAATCATAAATTGGTGGGTTAAAATATTTTCACTGTTCAATAATAAAGTAGCTGCCAAATAAAGGCTTTAATTTTTTTTTTTCTTGACCCATGGGTTATTTTATATTGCTATTCATTTCATCAGACTTGTTTTTGTTGTTTAAGAAAAGGTACAACGTTTTCATCACCTGAAATAACTGGATATAATCTTTTCTTTTTTTTTTTTTTTTTTTTTTTTTTTAACTAAACCTGTTCAATATTCTCCAGTCCTTTTTTTTTTTTTTGTAAAGCCGGTTCTTTTGACGATCCCCACAAAAACAAAGGTTGTTACATTGATCACAGAATAAAGAATCTGCTTTCTTGTGATCACATAATCTTTATTTCATGTTCTCAAGACACACAAGTATCTGTCAGACCTTTCTGATGATGACAAGGAAACAAAAATGTGAGAAATGAACCAAAGTCTGTGGCCTGTAGTTTGGCACTCCTGTATCAACTGGTTTGAATCCCTCCAGTCAGTTGTAGTTTGCTGGTTTTTAACAGACACCTGTCGTTTCAACTGTATTTTTGCATCTGCAGGGTTATGGTATGTGTGTGTGTGTTTAGGCTCGGGGAGGGGAGGGTGGGTCGGGGTTAGTGCTCAGTTTCTTGTGTGAGAGTTTGCTCTAAGGGTTATTTTTTTGAAGAAATTCTATCAATGGAGCTATATTTATTTAAAACATTTGATTGTGAAACATGTTTTTGTCCTGGTGATATTTGAAGGCAAACGTTATAAAAAAAAAAAAAAGTGGACGATATGGGACCTTTGTATGTCGCATCTTTCTGGGGCAGTGAGGGGGACTGAACATTTCAACCACGTTACTTGCTTCTTTTTTTTTTTTCTCCTTTTCCCCATCCTGAACGAATGAGTCCTCCTCGGTGTTGCTGCCCTTCCAGATTTTCCACGAAACACTGCACACCATCATTGTCACTAAAATCTTCCATGTGAGAGATGTCTGGGAGTGTAAAACTTGAATTCCCTCCCCCCTCCCCCCCTTTTACACACCTTTTGGTAAATTTTATTATGGAGATCGGTTTTATGAACTGAACCATTTCCTGTTTTTTTGTTTTCGAAGACACGACAGTCCAAGTGAAATTGTTCCGTGTCAACTTTATCCTTAATCGCCTGCCTTCCTCGTATTACCTACAATGCACACCTGCTTATTGTGTCCTCTTGTGTCTTAGGTGAGGAGTCCAGACACTTAGTATGCATGTAATTCACAGACAGTACATGCGACTTGTTGATTGTTTATTTTGTATGTGTGTGTGAACAGGTTTTCAACACTGCACTAAAATTTGGCTCCCATGTTAGCGTATATGTCACAGACAGGTTGAAGGGAGGGGTGTGATTTGGATTTGGAGTGTACAGATTGTCTGAAATCTTTTTGTTTTGTAAGAATATAAACATTAATCACCTAGAAATAAAGAGCTACAATATGTGAATGGAAGTACAGTTGGGGATAACTGACAGTTGCTTTTCCAATGTAAAATGATAATAAATAAAATGAACCTCATTTGTTGGAGTTGGTTTGTGCAGTATGTGTTATCAAAAAACTTCAAGCTATGTTGGTTTCAATTCATGGATGCTTTTGTGTGTGAATGGGTGAATGAAAGCCAGTGTGGCCGCTGCACATTTATTTATTTGGTAACACTTAACTTTATCCTGTCTGTGTAGTATCTGTATCACTATATAAACATTTAATACATGCTTTATAACAGTATAATCTAGTTGTAAGCAGCTATAAGGACGTTTTAAGTGTACAGTGTCAAAGATTATAGCTTCTCTTATGTAGACATTTTATACTACAACTGTATTTTTTTTTTTTTTAATTATATGTTTATACACCATCCTCCACTTCTGGGTGACCACAAGAGGAGTTATATTTGTTAACAAATACTCTGACAAACTTATATCTACATTATAGTGTGTTATAAACCATTTATTACATTTTTACATACCATATAAGCTTAATAGGGGAGGTTAAAGTAAAGTGTTACCAGTTATTCCCCTGGCCCCAGACCTTTCAAATACATGTATGTTATAAAAATAGAAATAAAGATTTACCCAGTGAGTCCAAACCTTGCCCCTGAATGTAAAGTCTATTGCTGAAATGATTAGTAAATAATTTAGTCGATCAGTAGAGAATCAGTGAACAATTTTCATTCATCAGTTAAATCATTTATCAAGGAAACATTTGCTGGGGCAAGCTTCTCCAATCTGAAGATATTAAGTTTTATATAATTGTGAATTAAACATCTGAATTTTGGTTGCCATTTTGCACAATTATCTGCCATTTTATCAAGTAAACAATTGTTTAAAAACAAAAAGATAAATACACAACAAAAATAATCCCTAATAGCCCTCGTTATGTCCCCCTATTTGTGTGTGTGGAGTGGTTTTACACCCCTTGTTTCCTTGCATAGAGTAGGTTTGGACTGAGAGACGCAGTCAAAGAGGTCCATCATGTGATATCTGCTGTAGGAACATTGATATTTGATCTCCCACTTAGACACACATTCAACAGACTGCTCAGCCACATCATTTCCTCCATCACTGCCCCCGTCTGATTTGATGGTGAGCTGCATGTCATTCCCAAAGATGTGAATCTTCGCTGCTCTCAAAGCTGGTCTCAATGGCCAGTCCCCCATCGTGGTTCCTGGTGGAAATCTTACCAAAGTCAGGAGGGCTGGAATATTAGTGTAAACAATTTATGCTGGAAAAAAAGTTTGGACTCTTCTACGAAACATATTTTTGACCAATGAGGTTAAAGAAGTCTCATTGATGTTACCTAGTTAGGTCTTTATTGATTTCAGCAGTGTGAGGAAATGTGTACATACCTGTTAACTGAACTGATTTATCTTGGATGATATTATCTGTTTCTATGAGATCCTTTTTAAGCATCAACATTATATATGAAAAACAAAATGTTCTAATCAATCTCATTATACTTTTTGCAAAGTAAAACCTCACTTTAATGTATTCAAGAAAGAAATGGACCTATATATTAAGACAATAACCCTAAACTTAATAATTATAAAATGTGTCAACATGGTCATCATTTTAAAACATACTAAGCCTTTCTTTAACTTCTGTCTCTGTTCTTTCTTCTTTCTCCCATGTAACAAACAGATGTCCAGCTGCTCTGCCGTAGCTGTCTGGTAACTTAAGCCTCTGTGTTGTTACTTGTGTCTCAGCAGTAGTTGGATTCTCTCCATCTGCCCTCGTCTTCTTCTCCTTCCCGCTCTTCTCCAGCCTTCAGCAGAACCCCTCGCCTCATTGAGCTTTCTCTGGTGTCAAAGTTCAGCAGAGGGGTTGACCGAGGTCGGAGGTCAGCAGGCTGTGCTGTTGAGGCAGGCCTGAGGTCACACATGGCATGTAACAGACACAAAGACAGGTTAATGTGATGGCTTAATTTAAAGCTGCAGTATGTAAGGTTTATAAAAATAACTTATATTATAGTCATATTTCCTGAAACCTTTACTATATCCTGACAGTAGTACATGAGACAGATCATCTGTGGAAAAATCAGGTTCCTCTGGCTCGTCCTGGTGCTCATAATGGCAACAAGAATCTAATGTGGCTGAGTGAAAACAACCAATCAGAGCAAAGAAAGATAGTTGATTGTTGAGTTTCATTCCCAGGCTGTCAAATACCAAGGCGATGTGGCTTGAAGCTTAGTTGATTGTTCAATCGCCTATCTTTCTTCAAAACTGTCCACACACTATTAAATCTTCTACTTTCGTCTGAGACTTGGATTTGAAGTCCATAGTTAGCCTAACTAGTTGTATTTTAGTTGACCAAATATTGAAACACTTTTTTATTCGGTTGTATTTTAGTTGACGAAATATTGAAACACTTTTTTATTCGGTTGTATTTTAGTTGACGAAATATTGAAACACTTATTTATTTGGTGTGTTATGTGTACACATCTTTACAACTGGAGAATTTTTTTTTCCACAGATTATCTGTCTCATGTACAACTGTCAGGACATGCAAAGCATTTCACATGACATAATTAGCCAATACATTTTTAGATAGCAGAATGTACTGGTTTGTCATATGCTGTGGACACAGAGTATGGAGTAAATATATATATGGTTACCATAGACTGTATAATTAAAAAAGCAGCTATCGAATAATTTTAGTTTTTGCATGTTTGATGTTCAAAAGTTGACTTGTGTCCAGATATAGTGAAAGTTTCTGCAAATATGACAAAAAATTATTTTTATAAAAGTAGTAGCGGTATAAAATCTGTCTTTTTATCCTTTAATGTATGATGTTTTGTGTTATGCGCCGGTGCGAGAAGCTGCAGTACCACCTCCTCTCCAACAGGTGTCGCCAGTATTTTAAACAAACAGCTGTTCCTCTCTTCTTCTATGTGTCTGGGTTTGCCGTGCGGAAGTTGTATAACAGCAGCCTTATGTATACACTCTCAGCATGAGCTAATGGTATATTCAATCTAAGACTTTACTCTTACAGCTTCACAACAGCCAACAAAATGGTGAATATCGGTCTCACCAAAGTGGACGATGCGCTGGCAGCAAAACATCCGGTTAGCTTTTGTTTATTTGTTTGTTTCTTCTCATCTGTGCACTGATCTCTGTGGAGGACACTGACAGTCAAATGAACTATCTGCTGCACACACTGAAAACCTCTGGGATGTCCTGGGAAATTGCATATAAATGTTTTAGAAGGGTGAATCGTGAAGTGAAAGCTGTTCTCTCTTTCAGGGTTTAGGGAGTTATGCTGCCTGTCAGTCTCACGCCTTCATGAAGGGAACTGGGACCTTTATTCTTGGTAAGTGATGTGTGAGTCACTACAAACCACAGTGTGTTGTCATCTTTGTTGACAACATATAGGATTGGACTATTGAGTTAAATTCCTACTTGTCTATAGAAAAACACTAAGAAGTAAGAGGGCCAACATAAATACAGATACAACATTACTTTGACTGTTGTACTCCACAGGAGGGAGCTATATTCTGCAAATGTTTCTTGTATCAGTACAGCAGGATGTTCTGCACACTGATCTGAGCACACACAGAGTGAGGACGGTTGTATAATCGGTTCCTGTAATAATATAAACTTAATATACATTCATTGTAAATTATTTCAGAAAGTACTGCCACTGAAAATGACAGTGACAATAAAGTCAGACCAAGACGGATAAAGACAGTTGACAGATTGATGTATTGCATGATCTTAACAGGTATTTATATATATATATATATATATATATTCAGTATACTGACATTTGAAGAAGAAGATTAAGAAATAGAAATGTTTACTTTTCTCTATGTTGTTCTTAACACAGTAATTGTTGGTGCACACTGTCAGTGCTGTTATAATCCTCATTTTCACTGCAGGATTTTTTTTTTTTAAACTGAAAACTGAAACTTATGCAGGCTCTGAATCGATTCAAAACCATTTCTCCCAGAAAAAAACTCAAAATTAGTTTCCTTTGATATAGTTATACCTTAGAAGAAGTGTATACATCACATGCAGGTGCAAGGTTATTGAAAATCAGCAGATGAAAAGAGAATTGAAACTCTCTGAAAGATCAAACCTGAACATCTCTGCCCAGCCTCTCTTTTTATAAATGGCAACAAGAAAACCAGTTGCTCAAAAAAGTGTAGGCGAAAGAGGACAATTGTATATTTGAATGTTTGAATGTTCATCATGACTGCAAGATGTGTCATTGAGATGTTGATTTTACAGGCGCTGCCGGTTTATTTGCCCTTCAGATGGGTCTCCAGAGGAAGCTTCCTTATCCTCTCCAGTGGAACCTATTAATTTCAATAGGTGAGAAATGAAACGTGAGCTTTAAATGAGCAATAAAACACAAAACATCAGCAATTATTTTGCTCTGTAGCCACCCATATTTCCTCTAACATTGCCTCTCTCTTCTCTCTCAGTGGCGTCATCAATGGGAAGTTATGCAGTGACTCGCTGGGAAACACAGAAATGCTCAGACCTTTGGTTGCTGCTAGAAACAGGCAAAGTCCCGGACAGATCGCCACCGCAAGGTCAGTGCAGCGTGTGCGTGAAGACCTGCTCACGATCCCTCACTTTCTCACAAATTATGAAACGTAGATGTGTTTGTCCGGTTAGATCAGTAGGAGAAGACACAGTGTTTTATGGAAGTAAATACATATTTGTCAGTCATGATGAACCAAATGAAGACAGTTTGCAGACTTTTATGCTGTATGTTTACCTGTCTCTGTGTTTGTCTTTCAGTGCCTAAACTAGAGGAATCAAAAGGACCTGAGAAGACAAAATATGGAGACGTGATGGAATGAACATAGTAACAAATGTGTGTATCTACTGTATATAAATACACATTTTCTGAAAAAAATACCATGGTGGAGATATTCAGAAGTGTACTGGGTGTGAGATTGTACATACTGTATTCATTTTTACATCCCAGTGTCTTTTTTTTCTCAGAATTTGTGGAGCTTTTGAATTTCATAACAGCATTACCGTGTGGATAAACAGATGAGTTTCCCGAATCAGAGGTCAGGAATTAGTTTTGGTTCTTTAGGAGGAATCCCATGTTAAGCTTGTGATCCGGTATTATTATTTGGATGCATTTGTTTGACATGCAACAGAATTAACACTGCATTGCAACAACCAGCCACTAGTTGTCACCTTATACCTCCTGGGATTTGTAGAGCTGTATCTTGTAGTCACTGGTGGCTCAACCAAACCAGTAAATTACCAGTTTTACTGTTTTCAAGCGTATGATCTAAAATACACATTGGTGATTTTAATCATATATGCCTTGGACTACAGAAGACAACTCATGGTGGAACGATTCATCCTTTTCTATTAATAAATACTCAACTACTTAATAAAATGCCCAGGGCAGCAGTATAATCCACATGAAATCGTTCACGGTTGCTGGCTGCTTTAAGCCACTGCATGTTCATTCATCCGTCCTCAGTTCAGTGATGCTGTAATTAACCCTGCCACATATCTGGATGACTAACTATTAATCCGGATTGGATTTATATCAATTTGGCATCTGTGCTTAAAAAAATCAATTCCATGAGGTTAGGTGAAATTAGGAAGATGAAAATAAATACAGAAGTCATTGCAAATTCAGTGTTTGCCACTTGATTTAGGCAAACATGAATAAGAACTGAGAAACTGGAGAGAGAAAAGATTTAATATCTTCCTCCATCCTGCTTATAGATGAAGGATTTTACTGATTATCTTGCTCTATTGAGCTGTAAAATCATTCTCAAACCCACTCTTTGTTGTATATTTTTTATTATTAAAAGTAAACAATTGTTAAGAAGTATATAATACAATAAATACTTTTTAAAAAGGCCATCGTACAGTACTGTATATGTAGCTCTTCTTCCTAACAAGTTTGAGTGCAGTTATTGTTGCTTTGGACAAAAGTGTGTAATTATGCTGATATATAGAGTAGAAAAACATAACGCTGATCCCTCCACCCATCATCCACAGACACAAAGACGCCCACATGTTTGTGTTTTTAAAATACGGAGAGGGGGATATAGGACAATGTACCATGAAAGAGAAGTGGCACTGTGCAGCTGTCAGAGTGGATCTGATGCCCACCTCAAACAAAAAAACATACTAAATTCAGATATTTAAAAAAAAGTAAAAATTGCAGAAATATCTCAAAATCATTGTTATATCATCACCATTTCCCAGATTAAAATGAGGTTCGTCACTGTTTTAAAGGACCAGTGTGTGGGATTTAGTGGCATGTAGTGCAGACTCCAACTTCCTCGCTTCACCCTCCCCCTTATTATATTCCGTTTCTGTCAATAGATCCTCCTAAATGTTACACACTGGACCTTTAAAAGGACATAACATACATGACATGTCCAATAATACACTGGATGCCTTCTCTGGCTACATTGTTTTTTTACTAAGCAAGGATAAACACACAATTGAAAATACAATGATAGATTGTATTGTTCTGGTAACTAAATCACACAAAAAAAGAAACATAAAGACTCTGAGGTGGAAAAGTAATGATAAAAAAAAAAAAAGTCTGAACTGCTAAAAACTGAAACACTAGGTCCATACTCTACACTTCTATATACAGTATAATGATGAAGCCTAGTTACATTATGGTAAATCCTCAATTGTATACACAAACCGTAGATAAATAATACTATAAACCGATTTAATACTAATATGTGGCACATAGGGGAATTCTGCTGATCCTGGTTAGGCAAGTACCCAGATTCCAAGGTACTAGCCTGTTGAATTGAAACCTGCCATTCCCACATCATGTCGCCTCCACACAGACAGATGTTATCAACTGTATGTGATTTAATTTTGTTAAGTAGAAGCCAAGTTCCTTTAAAATCCCTGTGCAGACCCTGAAGAACTGAAGACACTCAAATCTGCCGGTGGTGCCCATGCAAAAGTGCTGAAAACGGCTCTAAATGGATGTAAATGTTTCAATTTAAAGGTTGGAATAAATGTAAATCTCTAATACCATTTAGGCTCAGTTGATGCAGAATCATTTGTGTTGGTAAACAAGTCCACTTAAGAAAAATGTGATAATGTTCAACAATTCACACTGTGACTATTTGCATAGCTGAACAAGTTTGTACAATAAGGTGTTAGCAACATAAATTCTGCACCACACAGTGCAGGCCATTGAAACAATAGAGTCTTTCAAGCAGGCTTTAACACCTCGAGTGAATGAAGCGACCAAAGTCCAGGCTCCTTAATTCATGGAGAACAAACCGAAAGAAAGTCCATAAGTAATTCTGAGAGCTGAAAACAGAAGCTCACACAAGCGCAGTGGGAAACATTTTTACAGTGTTTGTAAAAAAGAAAAAAATGTCAGGATCTTAGCGATCCTCATAGTAAAAGCAATCTGAACAAGGGAAGATTTTGGCTTTGGATTAATCTGAATCCACCCCCACTCTTGTTTCCCTCTCGCTCTTGTCCTCCCACTGTAATTCAAATCGGATTTAACACCTCCAAGATTTGTCTTGAATTCTCTTTCACTGTCTCTCTCCATCTCAAAAATAAAGGCTTCGTGAATTGAATAAGCTCTCAAATCCTTTTGTCACATGCACACTGATGCTGCTGAAGGAAAATGACTTAGAGAAAGAGAGCAAATAGGAGATAATGAGGGAATAGACCGTGTGTGTGTGTCTGTGTGTGCGTGTGTGTGCGCGTGTGTGCGCGTGCGTGTGCGTGTGTGTAAGTGTGTCACATGAGAGGACTGACTGGCTAGGGGAGTTGAGGATCAGTATATGACCAATAACTAAAACAAACAGCGTTGTGGATTGGCCTTTTGGCATGCTTGGCAACCACTGGCATGGGTTGTAACGTGTTTGTGTGAGTGTGTGAGCTGTTTTTTGTGGCAGCAGTGGCAGCAGTGGCATGTGCGTGACAACATGAGAAAGGAGAGACGAGGAGAGCAGGAGTGAGGGCTCATTTGTCTGACCCTGTGAGTCGAGTGATCTCAGTGAGCTGAGCTGCGACTGGACAGTGTGTGTGTGTCTTCCTCCTCTTTCCTTCACTTTCTGTATTTCTTTGGTTATATAACAATCTAGCCTGAAATGCAAGTCCAAAAAACAAACACAGTTTACATGATTTCTTATCAGCCCTTACAGTGGAAAAAAGCAAACCACTCCTGATCTAAATCTCCGAAACACTATTATTGGGTAATTGGACATTGATCTAGGGGGCCCTTCTCTCTGGCCTAAAGCTATAATCAATTCCCACAAATGAATGTGTTAACAAGAACAACTGGTGTGTCACTGACTGTCACGTTTGTTTTTAGGGGATCTATTGATTGTGTGTCCTCTCTTTCGGCCTCTGTTCTCATAAAGAAAAATGTGCAGTGCATTTGGAAAACATAATGGGGAAAATATGTGAGTCAATATCTGGTCTGACAGGAAAAATAACTGCATGCATCAGGCTGTCAGTAAATTACAGGGAGTGCTTTGTGTGACAGTGTGACAGTATCTTCAACATTAATCGCTAAGCTTTTGTACGAGTCCGAGCAGGTCGGAGATAAACATTGGGTCTGTGCAGGGACTGAGAGTCTCTGACTCATCGCTAAAGAATAAGTGTCTCTGAAAGTGCCAGAAATTGTGAAAGTTGGATTCAAGTTGTGTGCAGGGATTCAAGCCTGACTGAGAGAAAACCTTGACATACATCACATTACGTAATATCAAGGCTGATGAATGATGAAAGGGGTCTTTTGAGGGAGGAAGAAACTCAGTTAACACCCTGTTGTGATAGGATTATTTGCTGTGATTGTTGTTACTTGATAGTAGCCTTGGGTGTTAGGGCTGTTGTGTAAAGTGTAAATACAACAATAATTGTTTTAATCTTTAATTTTAATTCGGTACAAATCAGCATAAAATCAAGATTATTCATCTTAAATTTGAAGAGATTGGGCTATAAGATGTTCAAAGAAGAGCATAAAATATTGCACAGGATGCACAATTGTCCAATAAATGTAATTGTGTGTCCATAAAAACTGTATAGGCTACTCATTGTACCTGACGTAGCAATGAATAGCTAAATCAAGCAGATACACAATACAAGAAGTGGAAACAATAACATAATAACTCTTCAACAAATTCTACATTTATGGACCATCTTGTTCTATCTTTTTTTGCCAGTACTATGTACTATATTGTAATAAACATGGTTTATAAGAGTCTAAATAATAAAGCTTTTACTACAGACACATTATAGACGGTGTTACTTTATGTGTGTCTTTTATTACCCCTGTGTATGGGTTAAGTTGAATCATTAATTCAGTTTTATTCAGACAAAGGGGTTAAATTTGCATTTTGAGTTGCATAAACAAACATAAATGGATGAATGTTTACTCATTATAATCACATATAGACTAAAAAGGTTATTTATTAAATTATATGTCAAACAAAAGTATTCTGTGTGTGTGTGTGTGTGTGTGTGTGTGTGTGTGTGTGTGTGTGTGTGGCTGTAAAGTGATAGTTTACTCAGCTCTTTCTGATTATGTGGAGGGGAGGTGGGTGTAATATCCAGGCTTTATGAATAACGTCTCAGCATTAGTAATAACAAAAGCACAACTCAAACTGGAGCCCACCTCAGGCTCGCACCAATGAGCGCCGAGCTCGTGCACACCGCGGCCAATGGCTGGTCCCGGGACGCTCGCGCACAGCCGTTTGAAGGGCGGTCCTCGCCAAAAATAAAAAAAAGGAAAGTATGGGACCAGAGCGGCGGAGTTTCGGTGGGAAGGTAGACACTGAAAACGGTCAAATATCGGGAATATTTCAGGATAAAAAGCTTTATAAGGACGTGTGTTTTGCTGTTCAGTAAGCGGTTGTTGCTGGGTATTATTCTGTATGCTCCGCTGTGTGTTTATTCAAAGTTTTAGCCAACTTTTGTGTTGGTGTGTTTTTTTGATTGATTAGTCGGTGGAGATTATCGGTAACATTCATGGCTTTGATAGCGACCGACCAGAGCTGCAAACTGAACGGGACGTCGGCGATTTACGGCAGAGTTGGGCCGAGGAAAGACGTGTTTCAGGGCAAAGCGGAGGGCTTTAAAACGCCCAGAATGCAGCCGAAAGAGACGGAGTATTCAACAGATGGCCTCCCGAAAGCCTTCCTCCACAGCCTGAGGACCCTGTTTGACATTTTGGATGATGGTGGACGGGGTTATGTCCACATCTCGGAGATAGAGAGCCGCTGGCAGGGCGCAGACACCCGGGACCTTCCCGGCGGAGTGCTGAGCTGCCTCAGGAGGGTCACCCCACCGCATGGCTGCCTCACCTTTGAGCGGTTCGTTGCGGGGCTCCGGTACTCCATGCTCAACCCGGAGAACAGCTCCCACTTCAGGGCCCAGGCTGCCGTTCACCCGCAGCAGGCAGCGAAGCAGCCCCACAAACCCGCCCCGCTGTCCACATGCAGCGTGGGGACACGGGTTGAGAACAAGGTGCGTCCGCTGGGGCCGAGCAACGTGACCAACACCCAGCAGCACCGGGCTACCTCTCTGCAGAGCCGGGCCAGGCCGGAGGATGGGACCGGGTACCCCGTGTGTGGACCGGCTCCGTACGGCGCGGGCTTCGAGAGGTCCGGGCGGAGTTTGGAGCGGAACGCCGCTGCACCGGGAGGCGGGTGTTACCGGGCCGAGCAGAGCCATGCCACCAAACCAACACAGCCCCAGCAGAGCCGGGTCAGGTCCATTGAGTCGCTTGCTCTGGAGTCCCCGCAGCTCCACGGACCAAGTAAGTGGTGCCATGAAAAGCCACATGTGAATTACATCTGTGCGTGCGAGTGTGGGATGGGGACATTGAGTTCATGGTGGATTATCAATTAAAACCCTCTCTGTTCAAAATCCAGATTTAACAGCAACACAAACAAAAACCAGATATTAGCTCTGATCTGATCTGAGGTCAGCTGTCAAACAGTTCATGCTTGTCATTGTTGTATCTGAACCTCACTGCTTCCAGCACATTTATTGATCTGTAATTAAACTAGGGCTGTATTTTTCCTATTAATGTTTCAATAGAAAATATCACTGCAGGACACAAATGAGAAAGGTCTGCACTCTGAGAATTAAACTATGTATTGTAGACCTTTCTCTATTGTGCTCTGTAAAATGTCAGGAAATAGTGAAAGAAACACCCATCATGTTTTCCCATAGCCCAAGAAAATTGCGCGTTTTGTCTGACCAACAGTCCGAAAGTCAAATATATTAAATTTACAGTGATATGAAACATAAAACAGCCCATCTGAGAAGCTTGAACCAGTGATTGTTTTATCATTTTAAAGAATTAAGATTAATTATTTGCTGTTGCATCTGCATTTCGATGCATGCCACATTAAGAATTTATAATTCAGTCTCTCTTTTTGTTTGTGCCTTAGTTTCAATTTGCTGCTCTTGCTGCTGACTTAAAACAAAGACAAAGAAAAGATTATCTAGACACTAAAAAGATGTGCACGAGGAAGAATAAGAAGTGGAGCTTCTGCATCCCTGAAAACTACCAGAACACTTGAGACTGAATTCTCTTGAGCCAGCCATTTGATTGCATGCATAACTGAGTTGATATGTCCACTCATATTCTAATTAAATTGGATGCAGTGATCCATGTAGTACACACACACAAGTGCAAAAATGTCTGCAGAGTGCAGGTTGTCATCCAGAGAGATCCTTACAAAGGTAACTTTACAAAGTGACTTTTTGCCCGAATCTCAATGGGGGTTAACAACAGTTATCATTGGGTTTTGATAACACTCTTCTCAGGTGTCCGTAATATGTCACAGCTTAAACAGGCCCTGTTCAAGAGCCTCTGCTACAATGGTGGGTGTCTGGCTGAATAATTGCCGCTATTAACCCCAGGTCAGTTCAGAGGTCGTGTCAGAAATTCCTGCAGAAATGTATCTATCTTGAGAGGTTTGCCTCGTGGAGGGAACACTCTCGTAGCCCCTCTGACAGGGCAGTGGTATGCATGTTCACTTCTTCAGTTTTTTTTTCCTGCTGAGCTGCATGTAGGCTGCCTGCTCATTATCTTGTTCATACATACAGGCTCTCACTCCCATACAAAATCATTCTTGTTCGTCTTCCTCTCACAATCATGCGAGAGTTCGCTCACATGCTCTCTTGCTCACTCTCACTCTCACTCTCACACACATTCAACTAATAGTCTGTCCGAGTTTGCCTGATCTCTGGACAGCCAGGCCTGTCTGGAGCTATAAGAGTGACACTCTCTTTGTCGAGCCCTCAGGGCTTTCGCTGCTTGCACCACTCAGCACTTAGTGCAGAATTTTATTTATTCTTTATTCTTATTTATTATTCTGATTGATAGATAGATAGATAGATAGATAGATAGATAGATGGATGCACTATATGGCCAAATGTTCACATAGTTCTGTGTACTTTCGTCAGTTTTTTGTTAGCTCAAATGAAAGGAGATCATAATGCAACAATAAAACCACATCACTAAATACCCACACAATGCCCTTGTGCACATAGTGAAGTGGTTTTCTGGGTTTGGTGTGGAAGAACTTGACTGGCTTGCACCTCAACCCATCTAACACCT